GGCGGGGGGCGAGGGGCAGCGGGGGCGTCGCCCGAGGGGCGGGGGCACCCAACTCTGCCCTCTCGCGCTCGGCGGCGGCGGCGCTGTGTGTACCCCTTTAAGAAGGAGCTGCTCGAGCGCTGACGGTTGGGATTTGAAGTTCTTCCTCCCTCTTTGGAAGTCTGGACGGATGGGGGGTGTTGCCATGACGACGGCACCCTTCCCCCCCCCCTCCTTCCCCCCCTCCTTTTCCCCTCGCGGACGCCCGGACGACTCTGGTCTTGTACTGTCATGTGATGGACCCTTCCCTGCACATACACGCACATCGCCCTCCCCACCTCCCATCCCCGTTCTCTTGCAATTCCGTCTTCCCTTTTGGTGGGGTCGGAATCGTTTTGCTACAAACTTCTGGGCTTGGGGCTGTCATTCTGCGGGTTGCTCGGGGTGGCAGGAGATTGTGGGAACCCCCCACCGTGCCGCGGTCGCTTTTTTTGTCTGAGACGTGTGCGAGGAGCTGTTACCCAGCAGGTTGGTTTAGTGGGCACAGAAGGGACTGTGAGGGTTATGGGATGGGGTGTGTTGTGCCTGTTTGTTTTGGAAGGGGGTTGTGGGTCGGAGAGTAGGAATAGAGGTAGAAAGGAAGGTTGCATTGTCTTAAGGAGTGGATGGGTAGCAGTAGCAGTTTGCTCGACTGGCGATTAAATCTTGGCATTTGGAGTTGAGGAGTACCTTATTGCCTTAAGAAAACAACTCTCTTACCTTGTTTCCATCTGTTCTTGCGCCACCTCGCGCCCCTTTTCCCCACACCCCCCTCAGATTTGTTTGGTTAGCGCCTGAAGATCTTTCTTGTTTTTCCCTAGTGAAAAGGAGACCGTGGTAGAATAAACTAGTACAGCTTCAGCTTAGAAATGTGCACTGCAGAATACGGTGGATATAGGAAAATGTACAAGAAGGAAACTTGCTCCGACTAGGAGCATTTAAGTTCACTTTAAGCGGTAAACTGTTTTACCCTTATAAAATATATTTTGGTCTTATTTAAGGAAATATTTTGGGAAATAGCTTTAGTCAAGTATTTATAAGTGATTTTAGTTCTTAGAAAAAGTGAAAAAAAAAATTAAAACCCTCAGGGTATTCTTTTATAAAAATGTTAAGCCAAGTGTTGCTAGTGCTTCCTGAATACAAAATGGACCCATTTTTATAATTGCTTACGTAAAGATCTCTTCCACTGACAACCTGTTTAGAAATTGTTGAGTTCCTTTGGTGGGAATCAGGCAGGATGACAGCATTGAAACACTGGCTCACGATATAATTGTGTTAAGTTTTACCGAGGCACACAGTGATTTGTACATGTCTTCGGTCAGTTTTTATGTTTTGGAATACTTTAGGGTTTTTCCCTTTTCTTCTTGTTTAGATACATTAAGTATGGCTCTGTATCACAAAAATATGTGTAGTTTTGAAAAATAGTCAAATTTTAAACACGATATTGGATTTGATGGAAAAAGGGATTTAGAATATCTTTCTGTCTTACCTACTAAGACACACAAGATTGGAAGACATTGAAAATTGAGTTGATGTGGTATGTCTAACATGCAATCTCTATATTATATTTTTAATGTAATGTATTACTGTACTGTATTTGAGAGGACATTTTTTCCTGGGCTTTAACTATATTTGAGAGTTGTTTCCCATAGTCCCAGCCAGGAGACCTAGTAAAACCCATCTCATACTTTGTTTTTGTCATTATTTTTACATAAACATTAAAACTCTTTTAAACAGGATATACACTTGTTGATTGTTTTTTTTTCAGTATTGTATATGCGAAGCACTTATTCATAGTGTGAATTAGGATTAAATGTAGTTTTGTGATTATCTTAAATTACCTTTTGCTGTTAACGTGCTTATATTCAATACTTAACTTTGGAAACATATTTACAAAAAAGCCCAAATCTTTTTCCTTTTGCATGTGTGTGAATATTTATATGTGTATTTATATATATATATGTTTATATTTCTGTATTGAATATATTCAGTGCTCTTATTGCTTGAAATCATTTTCATAAATTATACTTTCTATAATTTGGAAAAGAAAATGATCCAAAAGTCTTATTTTTATGAGACAGAAATTGTAAGCAATGTCCTAGGCTCATACAGCAAATTAGTATTGAGCTGGTAGTGAAGTTTTAAATCTCAATTCTTAGCCCAAGTTTTTAAAGTAATCTGATTTTTTTTATAACTCATATAATATTCTAATTTCATAAGGGAAAAAGTTCATTTTAGTTGTCATGACTGCTGGTGGTTAGCTAAGATGCTTAACTCTTGATAAGGAAAGTGATGTTTGCTTTTTCTCTATTTGTGGAACTCATGTCTTTAGGTTAGATTTGTGACTACTCTGACTTATTCTGGTTTTTCTTTTTTACAGTTTAATTGAAAAATTGTTCTACAAACTCTTATGTCCTAATTAATAGCTCTGTTTATAATGTGCTTTTTATAATTTATTTTTCTATAATCATCCTATACAGTGCTATAATTTTGAGTATGCTCAGCTAACAAATGTTTGCATGCTTATTGGATATAGTAAATAGTATCCTAGTACTCAGTATGACATCGAGTGATAACGGATAAAGTCTTGGGTCTTATGGAATATATAATGCAGTTCGTATCTGGTAAGTCATTAAATTTAAAACAAAGTAAAGTCAAGCATAAAAGAAATGCATTAGCATATTTTAAAATATTACCAGGTCTTATATAGTCTATTAGGATATTCGGTCTGGGAGATAGGCCAAGTTTTTTGTTTTTCTACTTTTTGCTAACTTTTAATTTTGATAAAATTTCAAATTTATAAGAAAAGTTGGAAGAATAGTACAAGGAATTCCTCCGTACCCTTACTCACATTCACCAGTTGTATTACATTATGCAGCACTTATCATTCTGGCCTTGTATCTATATTTTTCTGAACCATTTGAGGATACTTTAGTGACATCATACCTCTCTACCCTTAAATTCTTCAGTGTATATTTCCTAAAACCAAGGACGTTATCTTACCTAACCACAGTGTAAATTATTAAAACCAGGAGATTTAAAAATGACATAATACTATTATCTATTTCATAATCCATGCTCAATTTTTATCTCTTTTATCTATAAGCTCCCCCTACCTCCTAGTCCTGGATCATGTATTGCATTTGGTAGTACTATCTCTTTAGTCTCTCTTAATCAGGAACACTTCCTCAGCCTTTCTTGTTTTTCTTGACCTTGACATTTTTTAAAAGTACAGTATGGTTATTTTGTAGAATGTCCCTAATTTGAATTTGTCTGTTGTTTTCTCATGACTAGATTGCTTATACATATTTGGCAGAATACCTCTAAAGAGATGTTCTCTCTTTATCAGTACATCATATCTTGAGGTTCATGATGTTGGTTTGTCCCGATGTTGGTGATGCTGGCTTTGAAAATTTGGTTAAGCTGGTATTCTCCATATTTCTCCCTGAAAGTTATTATTTATCCTTTTGTAATTAATAATGTAATTTGTGGGAAAATATTTTGAGGAACAGAATATTAACATAGTCTCACCAATATTTCGTCCACAAGTTTTAATATCCATTCATGATTTTCTGACTTCGTCATTCCTTCTCTAATTAGTACTTGGTATTCTGTCATAAAGCAATCTTTCCTATCTCCTCCATTATTTATTTATTTATCCAGTTATTTTTATCAGCATGAACTCATGGATTCTTTATTTAATGGTTAAATCCATTACTGTCATTACTTTGATTCCCAGATTGTCTCAGGTTTGGTCTTTGGGAGCCTCATCAGGCTGGTTCCAATGTTTTTTGACAAGTCTCACCTCTTACAACCCCTCTCACCCTCATCTCTCAAATGACTTTTTGAACACTTCCTTCCTGCCAAAACAAGATATTCCAGGTTCATCTTGTACTTAACCTGTCCCAGCCCCGACATAAACCATTTCTCCAAAGAACCCTCCATTCTTTTTTAGTGGAGAATAGATTTAGATACCAAAACTGAACAGTAGGTTTCAGAACTTTTTGTTGTTGTTGTTGTTGTTTAATTATTTATTTGAGATCGAGAATGAGATAGAGAGTGAGCAAGAGAGCAGTAGCAGGAGAGCAGAGGGAGAGGGGGAAGCAGGCTCCCCTCCTAGCAGGGAGTCGGACGCGGGGCTCGATCCCAGAACCCTGGGACCATGACCCCAGCCAAAGGCAGACGCCCAACCGACTAAGCCACCCAGGCGCCCCAGGACTGTTTTTAAACCCTATTTTTTCTGATGCAGAAGCTAATACTCAGTGTAACTGATTTGCCTAAGGTTGCAACAACAAAACAAAATGGCAAAGATTTGATTAGAATCATTCTATAAACTCCAGTTTCTTTTCTACATACCAGTGTTGTCCAGTAGAAATACA